TACCTGAAATAGTTGACGATGTTTTTCAAGCGCAAGCTTGATTATCCTTTCTTATTGTTGGGTTCAGTTTTCATGGTGTTCACATATGATGATGAACAGTTGTAACTTTATATATTATTCTTGATGTTGCCCCTAAGACACCCGTGGGAATTAGCTTGACATTTTTTGGAAAGTGTTTGTGAATGACATCTCTTATAGTTAACATGCCATACAAATATGGTCCATATCCCCGACAAGAGCTTGTTCCCACCTGCAGTCCTCCGACCGCTCTGCCTCTCCTACGAGAATATATTAAATAGCTTAAAAACAAACGAACAGCATAAACACATCGTTAAAATAAACAAAATCTCCATTCCACGTTGTCCAGTTTCAGTTAATATCTTTGGCGACAGATTTGTGCTTTTCTCGTTTTGCTCGTCCTCAGCGCACAATTGAAAATTAGTTTGATAAAAATTTTAGTGAAGCAAATTTTCTATTTCTTTTGGGACTTTGAAGTGGTTTTCTGGTGAAGATATCGTTATCGTTAACACCTTTTAGAAATCAAATTACAATATCTTATTTTGTGGGTGCTTAGTTAAAGAGCCTCAAAAACCTCTATAGCAAATTGCAAACGAGTGTAAGTAGACATAAATAGTGCAAGAAACGCAGTCTATCTATCTATCTATCTATCTATCTATCTATCTATCTATCTATCTATCTATCTATCTATCTATCTATCTATGCAACCTGCGTAAAATCAAATTTAAAGAGTTACAACGATTTTTCATGATGATTATCCTAGCTGGATAAGCAGAAATGATGTCTGCAGAGATAAACTGGGCATGGGGGGTACACCGAAATTTCCCGGTGGCTTGTGGGTCGTTTTGGCGTGTTATGATCTGTCACATTGACCAGCAAACACATTCAGAACCACGGAGAATTCAAGCTGCAGGTACGGCTCTCACAGCCAGATTTACCAAGTGGTAGTAAGTTAGATACATTTGCAAGAGACAGCAATCACAAAAATGCTAAATGTGAGGGTAAAGTTATTCAGTTGATCTACAAACAATGCGCTATTTTATGTGTTACGGGGTATAACTTGTTTTAATGCTTTATGCTGTCTTTCATTGGTTTGGTTTTATGGATCTTTGTATATAGTTTGCATGCTTTTATTTTGAAGTTATCGATTTTTTTTACTTCCTTCCCACACCTTGATCAAAGCAACTCTCCACAATTGCTCACACACTCACACATACAAGATGGGAGGTGAGGGCAGTCAGAGGGAGAAGAGTCACAGAGCATGTACAGAAGTGAAGCATGCATTAAGACTGCATGGTGCATAGAGCAACAGGATAGAAAAGCCACACAGATTCCAAGGACACTGGCCCTTGAACAGGCAGACATGAGCAAACATCAACCTACCAAAAAAAAAAAAGAAAAAGAAAAAAAAAACCAAAACTCTGGTTTTACCCATGTATTTTCCTCCCAAAGCAGCTATATATATGGTAATATTAGCAATTAGTAATTATGAATTACTCTGGGCTGGTTGGCTTTGAAGTCCTAAGAACAGAGACTCAGATGGCTTGCAGGATTTATCCAGAGGAGAACTGCCTTATTACAAAGTATTAAAAACTTGAAATCTGTGTACAACAGCTGACATATACACGCTGTAAAAGAACACACAACACTCTTTATTCCATATCCTGAAGAGTTCTTGTGTTACTAAAGATGATTGGGTACCACCGAAAATACTAACATCATGACATTAATATGTGCTTTTTAAAAAAAAGAGATAAGAAGATAAGATAAGATAGAACTTTATTAATCCCTCGGGTGGGTTCCTCTGGGAAATTCGGTTTCCAAATAGCACAACACCAACAGAAGTTACAGAATGTGAGCAGAATACCATATATACACATATAAAAATACAGAGACATATATAAATAAAGAGTATACAAAAGGGATAAATAGAATAAATAGGAATAAGAATACAAGGGAATTGCACATTTCAATATTGAAGTCTATTGCATCGTTGGTTATTAACAAAAAGTATTGCACAGTGAAAAGGCACTACAGCTTAGTTGTCCCCCGTCCTTTGTCCTCCTGTTTCCCCTTCCTCTCTCCTCCAGAGAGGAGTTAAAGAGTTTGATTGCGTGTGGGACAAAGGAGTTTTTAAGTCTGTTGGTTCTTGTCTTTGGGAGAAGCAACCTGTCACTGAACAGACTCCTCTGGTTGTTTATGGCCGTGTGCAGAGGATGCCCAGCATTGTCCATAAAAATATATATTAGCCAACATGACATGTGGCAGCACAGCAGAAAAAAACAAGCCCTCCATACAAAGCCCTACATTAAATTCAGTCAAGGACATTCCATGGCTGGCCTCTAGCGAGGTTGGCTGCTTGTCACCACTGGTCCTCTGGGACTCTACCCTCTGGGCAGATGTCACCAAGATGTGTGGTTATGTGCACCCTTAGGAGCTGCAGATGGTCCGGTTCTCTTGGATCCTTTTCTGTCTTCATACAAGAATGTTTCAACATTTCACTCCCAAAAGAAATCAAAATGATCTTTTTTTTTTTTGTTTTAAAATATTTTCTGTGTTGTGAAGAAAATATGAGCTTATAACATTTGGAAATAACTGAATTCTGTTTTTCTTCTGTGTGCACCTTATGTGTGTACTTTGTGTCCGCATGGCTATCTTTGTACCACAGATATATCAGGTCTTCATTTTGCTGCTACTACAGCTGTGATGAAAAGTTGATTTTAAGTCCTGCACAGGAGTAACTGCCGTTTGTGTTGGACTCGGTTGCACCACATTGACAGCCATTTAAGTGACGGGTTCCTTGGACAAGAGGACCATTCAATTCAGTTCAATTCAATTTTGTTTATACAGCACCTAATCACAACAACAGTTACCTCAAGGTGCTGTATATTGTAAGGTGGACCTTACAATAATACATACAGAGAAAAGCCGAGC